CGCCATGGTCGACCAAAGAAGTTGAGTGCACGTGCTCCGCGTCATATCCAGAGGTTGTCTTTGGGGAATAGACGTATGAGTGCTGCCAGCTTTGCTGCAGAGGTTGAAGGGGTGGGGGGTCAGCCTGTCAGAGCTCAGACCATACACCACACACTGCATCAAATGAATCTGCATGTCTGTCATCCCAGAAGGAAGCCTCTTCTAAAGATGATGCCCAAGAAAGCCCGCAAATAGTTTGCTGAAGACAAGCAGACTAAGGACATGATTACTGGAACCTGGTCTGGTGATCTGATGATTTGATTCAGATGGTGTCAAGCATGTGTGGCAGCAACCAGGTGACGAGTACAAAGGCAAGTGTGTCTTGCCTACAGTCAAGCATAGTGAGTGTCACGGTCTGGGGCTGCATGAGTGCTGCCAGCACAGGGGAGCTACAGTTCATTGAGGGAACCATGAATGCAAACATGTACTGTGACATGCTGAAGCAGAGCATGATCCCCTCCCTTCGGAGACTGGGCCGCAGGGCAGTATTCCAACATGATAACGACCCCTAACACACCTCCAAGACGACCACTGCCTTGCTAAAGCTGAGGGTACGGGTGATGGACTCGCCAAGCAGGTCTCCAGACCTCAACCCTATTGAGCATCTGTGGGACATCCTCAAACGGAAGGTTGAGGAGCATAAGGTTCAACTATCACCAGCTCCATCGTCATGGAGGAGTGGAAGAGGACTGGTGCTCTGGTGAACTTCAAGCCCAAGGGGGTTAAGGCAGTGCTGAAAATAATGGTGGCCACACAAAATATTGATGCTTTTGGACATTTTTACTTTTGGGTGTACTCACTTTTTGCCAGTGGTTTTGTTAATGGCAAATTTACACTGTTATACAAGCACTCACTACTTTACATTGTAGCAAAGTGTCATTTCTTCAGTGTTGTCAAATGAAAAGATAAATTCAAACATTTACAAAAATGTGAGGGGTGGACTTGAGATACTGTGCGGAAATCAGCCTAAAATATTGTTTTAACTACAGTAACTTTGTACGGAAGAAATAACATTCTTCATTAAAAACGACGAGTTCCTTTGCTCAGTTCAATACAGACTGTTTTGCTGCTACAGCCTTTTTATGACCAGTAGCTAACATTAACTTATTGAGTCTTATGCTACTGTTACAGCATTTAGTATTAAACCCTTAATCACCACATTCTGCAACAATGCTGTTCAGTAAAAGTAGCTTTAAAGCATTATGGATTTAAACAGTTTACTGGGTTTTTGGTTGACAACAAACTTCCACAAATAGAAATGTTCTCACCTGAGGTAAAAATACCATTACTTCTTCAGAATACGTTAACAAGGAAATAATATTCCTAATGCCTTAAGCTTTACATCTACAGAAGACACACTGCAGTCAGCTTTAAATAAATGCCTTTAGCCTAGATGTAAAATGTCACAATGTACCAATCTGCCTGCAGCTGAATATAAATACCATTTAATATAAGTGATGTCAGTTACAGGTCAGATGATGTCTGACTTAACTATGTCACAGTGACCTATTTAGGAGACAAATCTACCTCATAAACCTATTACTGACGATACTCTACAGCCACACCACAACCACCTGTTACAACCAGGCTACAGGAATCCTCTGTTTCTAATACTCTGCCATTAACACATTTGACATTTTTGTTCCTATTAAATTTGTTAAATACTGTACACCTTTTTTATTTATTGTTTTATTGTTATTTAATCTTTTTTTTTTAAATCAGGCGTCTCTAAGAACAAGAAATATTCACAGGAACACAACCAGCAAACAGAAACACCACTATGCAATAAACAAGGGATCAGTAAAAACAGTTACAAGAATCATAGAAAACATCAGATAACAAAGCTTTAAAAAGGTATAACTTGTAAGACCTGACACTGCTCTCCAACGGTCAAATTCATATATAGGGGGCTTTACCATTTGTCTTTTTACATGTGTAGAGACCTTGCTGTGTGCTCAAAAGCAAGTTTGTTTAGAAATTGAATCTCAGAGCAGAGCAGGCAGTTGATCAGGCTGTCAGCTGTTTGAAGCACCAGGAGATCGTTGGTAGGACACAGGCAGGGAGATCTGGCGTTGGGTGGGGAGCACCCACTAAGATGTGGTCCTCAGCCACCAAGAAGGAGAGGAAAGACCTGGTAATCTCTGAGGTAGTCAGAATGGAGGAGGAGCAATACAGAATCACAGCTGTTGGGCAATGGTAGCAAGGGAGCTGGACAATCTGGGAATGTGTAACCAACCGGCTTACCGATTTAGGAAAGATGTCAGCTCTGCAATGAACCCAACCCAAGCCTGCAGCACATCCTGTGTAGTTGTAAGAGCACTGACCCAGGGTCGATATGGATGGTGTCACAACCAAGTCATCAGGAAACTGGCAGAGATTCTGGAGGTAAGCAGACTGGAGGCTAACCACGATAACCCTCTAATGCAACATCATCTGATTCACTTTGTCAGGCAAGGAGCAGCAGTGAAGGCCACCACTCAGAGAGGGAAAAACGCCCTGACCCCTGGGAGTAATTGGAAGCTGAGGGTTGAACCTGAAAGACAGCTCAAGTTTCCAACTGAGATCATTACAACCTCTCTTCGGCCAGACATTGTCCTATGGTCAACAACTGACAAAGCAGTGATCGTGGCAGAACTAACAGTCCCATGGGAAGCAGGAATGGAGGCAGCCTTCGAATGGAAGAAGGATAAGTACTCAGAGCTGGCAGCTGAGTGCAGAGAAGTTGGGTGGAGGACAGCCAGGCTAGGTCAAGTTGGCTGCAGAGGCTTTGTGGGATCATCCACCCAGCGCTTCCTAAAGTCCATGGGCATCAATGGGGCTAAGTTGAGGAAGACCATAAAGGAGCTGGCTGAGGAAGCAGAGAAAGGGAGTTTCTGGCTTTGATTGAAGAGGAAAGATAATGCGTGGCGTAGGCAAGGATCTTAAGCATACTAGGGTCAGTTGCAGGGGGCGGCTGGGAGATGTCCCTGCCATTGCTCCACCATCCCAAGATGTTCTAGGAATAATGGAGCGAAACATCAATGAAGGGTGGCTCCCGGCTGATGACCCTGCAGCTGGCCTGATAGCACTGTCAGAGGTGTGACAGACATTTTATTTTTGCCATGCAGGCTTTCCTGTGCTGATACAGTGCAAAGCAAATATAAAAAGCTGCACTCTACATAATATTATCCTTACTTAAGTAGTACGGCAGAGTGCAACCACAAAATCATGTGGATTAGCTATTTAAAGTCATTCAAAAGTAAAATATTCACTTTTACAAGTTTATTCTCTAATTTAAAACTTAAAAAGTTGTGGTTTTACAGTATCACAAGACAAAACTTGTGGTTTCCTGTATTTTGATCAGAGTTGACATTAACATTGAAAGACGCACACAGGTGTGATAAGCGAACAGATAATCCGCTGACATCAGGTTCTAAGCATTGCCACTCTTGTTTAATCCATAGCCATGACTTCCACCTGAACTTGACTGAAATGTTTCCAGTACGAGTGCCAAACTTCCAGACCAACTTCCTTGTCCTCTTATGTAAGCAGCAGCAACCTTGCAGAGGATGTTAGTAGGGCACCCACGGGCGGACCACTGGCCATCCTGCTTCCCTCTACAGTTGACCATCAAAGCAGAGATGTAACTCATGTAAGAGAGGCCTTGTAGCTGTGTGGTGTGTTTGTGTGTGTGGTGTGTTTGTGTGTGTGTGTGGGGGAGGACGTGTGGGCTTTCTGCGTGTGTGTTAGTGCGTGAGATGTCATCTCAGTAGAGCTGTCACTGAAATGAAAAGTGTGCATCTATGTGTGTTTGTGTGGTGATGGGTGGGTGGACAGAAGAATAAGATTAAAAGAGTGAGAAAGACAAAGATAAATATTCTGGATTTCAAGAAATTCCTCTGTAATCTACCAGCTAGTTAGATCAAAATGAGAAAGTTGTACTGAGAAATTGCTCTTAAAGTCTTAAATTTTCTCTGAAAGGTTCTAATGTTCCCTATTTTTTTTAATGAAATAGAACTCACAATAAAAAGAGAGTTTGTATTTCTATATTCAACATAAAACCTAAAAATCTGTCAGGATGAACAGCATTTTATTTCTTTCACTAGTGATCCCTCACCTCAAAATCAAAACACTCCCAACTGTATTATCGGTCTTTAAAAACGATGTTGACAGCCCGTCACCCATCATAATGTTTGCTTAAGAAATGCAGCATTGCATCTACAAAAAAGAAACTTTTTAGCAGCAGAGTAAAGCTAGGTAAAGCTCCAAAAACGCTGCATCCTACATTGCCCTTAATGCAGTTAGATAGCTTCTTTTCACAAGACCGGGTGTCTCTGAATCAAATTACCAGGGTCAGGGTTGGGGTTGGTTGTTCTGTCCTATGGGGGACCAATTGAACACCAACTGAAAAGAGCTACACATCTCAACACACTCTAAAGCTAAATGCACTTTGACTCATACTGCATGATTAGAAGAAAAATGCCTGGAGAACCACAGCTTTCTCCTTATAAATAAGACAGGAGGCACCTACCTTTAACTTCACAAAAACCTTCCAGATTAACCTGCTTTTTTAAATGTACATGCTGACAAAATGTGAATAAAAAGTAAATTTCAGGCTCCAATGTTACAGCCTTTCTAGAACATTTTATTAGAACCGGTCGGTAGTTTGAGACCCCTGCATTAGACAGTCCCTGCCTCCTAAATGTAAAGGCTTTCTGTTGGAAATCTAGACAGGGACCTGCTGATGTCATCAGGGTTAGTTTTTTTAAACTTTGAAAAGCTCCCTCCAAAGTCACAGAAGACACGATGTGACTTTATACAGGCCGAGTAGTGCTCCTCATGACAGGTGAAATCAGTGGAGTTTCAGCGTGGAGCTAATGATCACCAGATCCCCTGATTTGGGGGGTCTGTTTTCTCGTCAGCTGTATTGTTCCAAAAACTGAAGTAGGGGGCAAAAAAAAGACCATAAAACTTCAACTCACAGCTGCATAATCAGGTAGAGGTGGTCTGGACTCTCGTAGATGTCCTCCAGCGCCACAATGTTCTCATGCTTGATCCTGCAAAGCAAAGACAAACCAACAGTTAAGCTTTTTATTTCAAATCTGCAACCTGTCTTATGCCACACAATAATCCATTAACAGAGGTGATTGCTGTTGAACTGCAAACACACAACATAACTGATAATTAGTAAGAGTCAGCAAGTAATCCTCCAATGGTGTTTTACCCAGCATATCCTTACTAACAAAACAGTCTCACCTCAAGGTCCATTTAGTAGCTGTTTTCATGTTGCTTTTGATCATATTACATGATATACATGATGATTTGCAAATGCAATCTGCTGATGAAGATCATGTGATGTAATTGAAAGCTCTAGATCAGATATTAAATGGACCTTGAGGTGAGATAAAGATGCTAATCTGAAAAAGACTGAGATGTGGGTGAAATAGTCAGTAATTATTAAACAGTAAGTGTAACTTCAACTGAGGTGTTTCTGCAAAAACATTTCCCAAGTCGAGAATGAACTTGCACACTAAACCGTTTCCTCCTAGCACAAGTTTTTCAGGGATTCGAACCAACAACCTTCCAGTCACAGGAGGCCCCCAAACCATTTTCATCTTCCACTCACATTTCTGCTTATTTCTGTCAGTTCTCTCCTGATTTCACCATGGTTACAGCGCTGTGATGAGTGTGTTTCCATCCTTCTATGTGTGTGTGTGTGTGTGTGTGTGTGTAGGTGTACATTTGTTATCCTAACACCTTATACCTTGAAGAAAAAACTATTGATTTTGTGTGTGGGTTAATCATCTTTTGCATTGTGAACAGAGGTAATTCCCCCTGCTCCATCTGTCTCTATCACTCACACACACACACACACACACACCAACCATACAGACAGGAATGCACAGCAGGCACGCAGGTGATAATCTAACACTTATTATGGAGCAGGTTGAAAAGAGATAATGTGTGTGTATTCAGGCCCTGCCTGGGATAATGAAGAGCTGGCAGCAAACAATCTGAGTGTAACGACAGAGTAGAGCATTCAGAAAAACCGTCTCATCCATTACAGGCTTCATGTTTCAGTTAGTCTTTCTCATTCACTGGCGATTGTAGGGTCAGACCTACTGACAAGGTGACATCACTATCTGTCCACTTTCTCACCTGGGTCTTCTTCTCTCTCTCTCTCTCTCTCTCTCACCCTACTGATAATCACACACAAGCAGCAACATGACATATATCTGATAATAAATAAAGCAAACAAAGTATTTATTTTGATACCAGTATAATACACTGCTAAGTAATGTGAAATCATTGTGTAGTCTCTCTTTCTCTCTCTCTCTCCCTCTCCATCTTCCTCTCCTTGTCTGTGTGCTGTCAACCACAAGGCAAGCATAACAACCAAACAGAGTATTTCTAACATAATAAGGGGTAGGAAGACGGAGGAGAACCCAGATCAATTTATAACGTTAATAAACCATATTGGGTTGCTACATCATTTAGACCTCACTCTGTCACCTGAACCTGACTTTCTAAGTCTTAAATCGACTTTGGCAGTAACTCTATGACCCTATGGCCCTCAGACGTAGTTTGCAAAATCCAACAGAGCTTAATTGTAAATGAGGAGGTCCCGGAACATAGAGACAGTGATGTTCCGGCAGGTCATGGGGAGAGAAAGAGTTATAGAATCAAAAATCCACAGTGCCTGGAGCACATTGGGCAACGCCTAGGTACTAGCTGTTAAAACTAAATACACAGTCATCACAAAGCATTGTTTATTTACATGTATTAATCAGAGCATTTCTCTGTTGAAGAAAGTTCTATTTACAACCACAAAAAGCAAACAGGCTAAGAAACCAAGCTAAGCGACGTCTTCTGTCTTTATATCTATCGATCTCCTCGCTCTGTGGGCGAGTAGAGGCTACTGGCTTCTCCTCTTCCCCAAAACAAACAGAACAGCTGATTACAGCAAGTAATAAAGCTCATTAAAAATCCTATTCCTCCGACGCTCAGGTGGACACAGACGTGAGCGCTGCAACTGGTCTGCAGCTCTTATTGGCTGGAAATGTTGTAATAACCTTCGAAACTGTATTGCTTTCTCTGCGCTGGAGTTATTTTAAGAACTTTATGCAGTTTGTTATTAAATGTGTAACAAACTTTATAGTGTCTCTCTCCATTATAAATCTGATGTTCATTTATAAATTTTACTCATGGATAGTCGTTACTAAATAATGATGCCTCTGCATCGCTTTGTAGGGCGTATACGCCTATGTCAGCTGGTTAATTTGCCTTATCTTCGCAGGTCTTTAGACCACAGTGGAAATGCAGATCCGGGGACTTAAAAGAAAAACAATTGATTCTGTGTGTAGGTATGTGGTTGTTAATTCACTGCCTTTGAGTTATGGAAAAAAACAACAAGCAATTTGAAGACTTCACCTTGGGTTTTGGGAACTTGCAATGGGCATTTTCCCCTTTTTTCACAGCCCAAACGATGTATCAGTGAATCAAAATATAAATCAACAGCTGCTGATCTGTGTAAAAGGCATCCTGACGTCTGCATTCTCGAAAGATCTACAGATAAATTAAATAGTGCAAGAAAGGAAACACACACACACACACACACACACACACACAGACACACAGGCTACATCCAGTATAAAGCTGCACTACTAACTTCGCGCATGTAGGCAACTCCAAAGGCATGAGGCAAAAACATTTTGTACGTACATACAGTAGTTGTAACTCAACCTCCAGATATAGTTTTCAATTTTTGATTGATGATGATTCAACGCGGAGCATTTCATGTCCTTCAGACTATTACATCCGAAAACAGGGCCAACTTCAGTGGCCTCCAATGACAGCATTAATTTACTTTGTTTACATTTATTTGACAAAATTCCCCAAACTTGAGTTCAATACACATTTTCTGTTCTTACAAAAAAGGTACAGCGTGTATTCATTTTGATTATTTAATGCCAAATCTAAATCTATAAATGAGTAAAAGGCATCAGATTAGGAGTTGGATGGTCTTGAACATATTAAAATAAATGTTGAAAGTCAACTGTCAGACATGCAAGCAGACTTTTGCTTGGCAACAACTATTTTCTTTAGTGGAGAATTTAAAATGTTACGGTCTTTTAGGTTTGCTTAGGTTGTATCGCTGTTTGTAGAAGGCTGAGTAACCATCACAGCAGTATCTCAGAGGATAGCAATCTCTATTTTTATTGTTTAAGTAATATCTTGCTACAATTCTGTAAACTAATGACAGCACTGATTTGCACACAGGCTATTTTTAGTAATTGGGCTGGGACACTCCCTGGAATTTTGGACCATGGGAAATGAGGAATAAATATCAAGATGATGCTGCTGTCCTCTACCTACTGTAATACAAGTGTTAGTATATGTTCCTCCAAATCAAGACCAGACCACTTTTCTAATGATTCTTTCTGCCATCGGCTGTTGTAAGAATCTTTGAAAGCTTTTGCCGAGGAGGATCATCATCCTCTTCCTGATTTGTGCCATAAAGTAACCCTTTAGATTTTCCCTCCAAAGCCGACCTGGTGTCACACAGTGTACTGGCTGGGAGAGACTGCCAGCCTGCCTTCTTATGCTCTCATTTGTTAACACTAATGACACTCATTTGTCTAAATTAATGTCTCCTTCATTAGTGGAGGCAATACTCATTTTCTCCAATGTGACACAGTACAGCCAAATGAACAAATGTATTGTACTGATTAGCATAATACATCTGTATCGTCACAGCATACAGGAGCACCGCAGTTTGACATTTCTGTGTAATTGTATAGTTACATGTTTGTGAGTAAGAGGGAAGAGACAAAGAGAGAGTCCGTGTGTTGATTCTTTTGAGAGTTTTCTGTAGGAGGAGCACTTTACCCCCCTTGCATGTTACTAGCTGCTTGTACAGACTAACCATCTAATTATCCCCATGCATCTGTGTTAAACTCTGCATGATGTGTTCAAACATGGCAGCCAATTCATTCCAAATAAAATCTGCTCACCTGCAGCATATACTCAGAAAAAGTTTATATTGCTTCCAACAAACACATCGCTGTGTTGTTCTGGCTCTGTCAGCACATTCATGCCATAAAAATAATATGGTGATGTGACTCTTGGTAGCTGTTAAATATACAGTATACTATATATTTTAAATGTCCATTTTTTTGTGTGTATAGCTCAGGGATGTTTCTTCACTGTTTTACAGTTTCCTTTAGAGAGTGCAGTTAGTCATTCTAGGGGCTTGTAAATTCCAAATAAAGTAGAAATGCACACCAGTAGCATATGATGGGCACCCGCTCATACGGTTTTCTATGTCAGTTCACACGCTGGAGGCATCAAGACATGCATCATAACGCATAAAAGGCTAAAAATCATGTTTAGCATTGTCTTCTCATGTCGTGTCTATGTTCCAACAATATGGTGCCACTTCTTAAAAAATAAACTTAAATCAGCCAACCTTCCTGACTTCTTCTCATGAATGCAGCCTTTATCAGTTTATCAAGGACTCCAACAAAGAGCACAGTCTCCAAACAGAATTCACAACAGGATTCTGATGGTTAATAACGTGCAGCTATTTCATTCTCAGACAGACAGAAGTGTCAGTCGTGGTGTGTATGTGCGGTAGGTGGGCTGTGGATCGTGACCTGGGGGCGTTTTTTTTTTTGGGGGGGGGGGGGGGGGGGGGGAGCTTGATGTCGAGATGCACAGTTGCCCCGGTAACCAGGAATTAGGAGGCCTATGTGCGTGTGTATGTCTAACTGCACTCACCTCCTCAGCACGGCAATCTCGTTCTCGATGCTGCTCTCCTTCCCCTTCAGAGCCTTTTTAGGGATGCACTTCACAGCGAACATCCGGCCGGTCAGCCGCTCCTGGGCCAGGACCACCTCAGAAAATGCCCCTCTGTGAATGCATAAACCAAAAAGTCAAGTGAGTCAGAAGGCGATCATTTATTGGACAATGTAACCCCCATTCCCCTGAATCCCACTGGTTTCCGCATCAAATAACTGTTCCTGATGTAGAGCTGAGAAACAGCTGTGTGGGGAAGTTGTACACCCTGCAGGGTCTAGTCTACAAGAAATTCTTCTGAAATAGAAAAGTCACCCTTAAAATGTACACACTCACATAAACCAGCATGATAAAAACAAGGTGCACACTGAGTGTTTCTTTAGTTGATATTCTAGTAGTAGCACATTGGCTATTTGAGCAGTTGCAGTTAGCAGTCCTATCTTGACTTGATGAGTATAATTTCCACTGCATATATTCAATCTACAATTTTGCCAGGAATGAAGAGCCTGCAAGCATCAATCTTAAAAGAAATCATTCTAGACATTTCACATATTGCCCCAGATAATTTTTTGTCCCTAGTATGGGTCAAACTCCAAAAAAGAAATGCATCCTACATTTTAGGACAACATTACTGATGGAAATACATTCACAAATGACAAACACTAGCAAAGCAATCTCCCTTCATAATTGGACGAGGCCTCTGTGCTTTGGTGCAAAAACATCTGGCTACAGGGGAGCTCTGTATTAGTTACAATATCTATCTTAGCCATGCCCTAAAGCATACCCTGCTTTATCATCTATTTTCCTCTAAATAGGATCATAATTTACTAAATGAACATCACGTTGTATTGAAGGAAACTTGAAACAAGCGATTGAGATCACAAACTCATTAGGAAACTGTTTACTGAGGTAATAAATCGAGTGAGAAGTCAGACTTCTTTTTGCAACCTTTAGAATCGCCCCCTGCTGGGCATTAGACCTCAAACTGCACAAACTCACATTTTCAGTGCCAATCTCTTAAACCAAAATGAAAAACAGTCAGTGTATCTCCAGACTTAACACTATGTGAATTCAGTTATTTTGCCTTTGAGATCCCATTTACAACAGCTCCAGGTATTTGATAATCTTAATATGCAGAAAATTACACGGCAATGGTAATGTGATTGGATTTTCCAAGTGTAACATTCAAACATTTTCTTTTAATTTATTCACTTTTTGCTATATTTGAAAACGATTTCTTTGTTTCTCGCATCATAAAAACTGACGATACTCTGTAATGATCATGGCACCAATAAAAACTTGGAAATTGAAAGGTCTTTCAGTTCTTGTATGTCTGTGTGTGCGTCAGGAAGACAAGCGAGGTGATGAATGAAGATGAGCCTATTGCGAGTTAATCTACCTGAACTGGGTGTTGACTCCTGTGTCGATCTGCCTTCAGCTGCACTGATCAGAGCAAATGTTTCTCTATCCATATTTGCTCTCTTCCTTCTTTCTCTTCCTTTGTGGCCTCCTCCTGTACAACATTCAGGCTATGTGCAGCTGACACAAATCCAAATTTATAACGTTCTAAGACCCGCTAAATGAACAACAATATTGAATTTAAGACCATGAGAAGGCTCTTTTGAGGCACTACTTGGCTTGGCCGCTTGCTATGCTTTGGAACTTTAGTGCCATGAGCTTGTACATAGCTTGAAATCCTCAGCCAGAGGCTTAGAAGTAAGAGGGACAGAAACTGTGTATTCACGGCATTGAGGCTATTGAATGAGCTGCCTATGGAAATAAGGCTAGAGTAGAAGAAGTACTCCAGAAGTACAGCCTCACAGAGCTACTCCAATGGCTGTGTGCTCTTGTTATCTTGTATGTGATGCCTTGTGTGAAGCAATTCGTCATCGTGTTTTTAAAAAAAGTTCTAAAAAAATTCTAAAAAGTAGAATTATTACAATAAAAGAAAGGAAACAGGCCAAAGCGGTCAGTTTCTTATAGGGATGGGTATCGCTACTCGATACCTTTATGGTATCGACCAAAACAGCCCAGTCTCTAGAAACGTCTCCAGTCAAACCAGCACTTCAATCGATACCTAGGCCTACTTTTTGTAACCAGATCGCGGTAAAAATGACTATTTGTATGGTTTTGCTTGCAGCCAAACATGCAAATAACACACTAAAAGAAAGCGAAGAGCACATCTTGTTCCTTATGTGCCTGCACCATAAAGTGTATAAAAAAAGGCACGCACCAAGACCATGTGTGATTTTAACGAGTGCTCACCTTCGGCTGTGGTCTCAGGCATGTCCGTCACTGTTGCAAGTTTATCACCACAAGCTTGGCTTTCAGTTTGCGTCTCACCAATAAAGGAAAAATCACTCGGGGAGATCTTTCAATTCAGTTTATTGATCGAAAGTTAACAAAATAATTTCCCACTATTTACTTTCAACAAAGGCATCAAAAAATTACCTTAAATTCGTTTCCCACAAGTTATTTGGTCACTAAACTATTTCACTCCTCCTCTCTCATTCAAATATAAAAAAATTGCAAGCTGTAGTCTTTCCCCGTATAATACTACCTGTGAGGATGAACTAATTAGAATGAGGAGCAATCTGATACAATACCCAATCCCAATACTTTTAAGGGTACTGGTATCGTAAAATTTTAAACAATACCCAACCCTAGGTTCTTAGGAATTTTATCCTACGCTACATGAATGGGAGCAATAAAAAGAACTAAAGTGTTGATGGAAAAGTCCAACTATGGTTTAAAATGACTCTACTAACCGTGTTCTGTTCATTTCACATTTCAATCTAAGATATGTCAAGGCCTTATATTTGCATCAGTCAAGACTCAATTCATGAATGAATTTCCATCTCTCGATCTTACACACCTGCCTGCTTGGAAATTGGATTTCACAACAGGTCACCATTCATACAGCCGACCACCACACTAAACCTTCATCGCACCTTCCTCCTCCTTCTCCTTACTCAGCTTTTCATTCATTCGTCGCTTCATTTGTGTGTATTTTGGTGTGTATATTTGGGCTGCGTGTGTGTTTGAAGCTGCTCATTCAAGGGGAAAGAGGCTGTTGTGAATGAGCTCTTCATCACATCAATATGTGAGTGCTGCCGTGCAGAAAGCCCTTGAGCCCTTTAGAGCGAAGCCAGCCTTCTGCTGCAAGGCCGACGAGCCTTAAGAACACCATCACAGGGGTAAACACAAACAGAAAACTGTGTTGCTACCTTTCCTGAAGTGCTTGGTCTCTGTGTTTTTTTTCACGTCTCTCAGCAAGAATCACATTCTCCTTCTCACCTTCACTCCCTCCGTCATTCCCTCTTCGTCTCTCACCTCACCTCTCATCTTTTTACAATGACAAGCGATCGTACTGCCGGTTGCCACCAGGCGATCGAGGTGGCCTCACACGAGCGACAGACACCTGCTTGCGCGGACTAATGGCTGTTGTGGGTTTTGGTGACATCACAGCAAGACAGAACAAGTGTGCCGCGCTGTTGGTATTGGTGCTTCACTTACACAAACACGCCAACACACACAGATTCCGAGAGGGAGAAGGGTACATGCATGAATGAACATCCATTAAAAAAAAAGCCACACGGGGATACATGAGGACATAAGCTCTCAAAGTCTCTGTGTGTATGTGTTTGTGTATATTGGGGATGTCTTCTACCCAATCAACGGTACGTGAACTCAGCCTTAATCTGCACTAAAGTCTGCTCAATCCCAATAATCCCACAATTAGAACATTAGAGAACAAACACATTATATCTGGTAAAAAAAAAAAAAAGCTTTGCGAGTTCACTTTCATGATGATGTGATGAAACTACCTCAAAAGTTCACTACAACATGATTACAGACAACTGGTTAGTTTTAACTCTCTCACACCAGTGGTATCGGTAATGACGACACACTTACTCACAGCTGCAGTTCTTATGAATCATCACAGGTGAGCAAATTGCAGCTGCAGTTGCTTTTGTGCTACGTATTGTGATTTTCTGAGGAACACTGGATCAAATGACTATGTGTAAAGTTAAACAGCAACAACATTTATAGTGACAAACCCATAGAGAATGATCACCAAACTCGTAACTTCCCCTCAAATCTATGGAGCATTTAAGCATCGTTCAGGCTTTCACAATAAAGCTGTAAAAATAAAAACACAATAAATATACGCAACCTGCCAAACACCAAACAGCAGAAAAACAAAGTTAGCACTGATCAGCTCTACAAAGATGGTCACACTCTCCCATGAAACCACTCATGTGTAAAACTGACAAGGGGACATGCACAAAAACAGTGGATGATTCTCTATGGTTCATTTTCTGGCAGTGTACTTTTATAATTGGTTCTACTAAACGTTACCACAAAATCTAATACAGTATAAGAAACAATTACATCAGAAAATTAGAATACATGTAATTTTACTGTAACCATCAGGAAATGTGTTGTTAAAAATCAAACTTCACTTACATCTTGTGTATGCACCGACATGTTAGACAGCCTTTTATCAAAACACCAAATGAGGGAATAGATGGTGTTTATCTCTCCTGTAGGATTCCAGAGGTTTGGGGCATCTATTTCAAAGAGCACTGAAGCTTCTCTGGAGGCTTGGGGTTGCCCAACACCTTACTAAAACACCTCATGTTGGTTTTCACCTTTAAAAAGCAATTATGATAATGCAACCACAACAACTACATCAGTAAACAGCTAAGAAAAGATGTGTATCTCATTTGCATTCTACACACACACAAACACACACACACACCCATTCATTTAATTCATTTATGCTAAATATATTGTTAGAATGGTGGGAATATGTGAAATGAAGAATGAAGCTGAATTGTGCTGAAATGAGGAAAAAGGTCAGGAAAGAGTGTGCGTGTGCGTGTGTGAGCGACAAATGTGAATGGAGGAGGAATGGACCTAATAAATAACAGCAGGAACACAGCACAGCACGGTCCAATTTACATTTTGTCAACCTTAAATGTATTTGGTTGCCACACAAACACACACACACACACACACACACACACACACGTGAGCGCTAAAGGACCTGTGGGGCTCATTTGATTGGAGGCAGGGTGCTTGTATAACATCTGGCAGCTGAGTTCACA